TGGGTAGGTTACTCCTAAGTGTTCTCTGTCTGAATGACGAAGCGAACAATTGTAAGTTAGAACTCGTTTCATTTGCTGTAGCTTCCACTTCAGCAATATCCTGAGTTTTAAACACACGACATGATGCAGTAACAAGTGTTTCAACTAGCGCCTGTAGCTGCTATTCCTTTGGCCAGGACTGTCCTCATGCATACTATAACCACTACTATGACTGACAGGGCACGAGACTAGGAGCATCTTCTCCCCTATTCCGTGGCCTTACGCTAATTGCCAAGGCGATTAGTGTTAGTGTTGAGGTCAGGGTTCAGATTAGGATCAGGGTCAGTCCCAGTCAGGGTCAAACAGGACTGGGTGTAGGCGCTATGGCTACTGGAAATATTTGCCCTTAACTGAATTTAACGCAAAGTCGTCTTTATCATGTAGGAGGCGTTCCTATTATCGTGTCTTTCCCTACGACTACTGTATAGTTATGAATACCAATTTTTTTACTGATACTGCTACTACCAGCAGTACTATGGCTATTATTATTATTATTCTGAATATCACTGTGTGATAACGTCATCTGTGGCTTTCACTAATTAAGTTAATGCTGTGGCCCACTTTCATACTGCCAGTACCAAAAGCCACTTCAGTTCATAGTCCTGATAACGTATAGGACAACATCAAAGCCTCCAGTAAACACCTTGACTGCTGGTTGTTGACTACGAACCACCATTCGCATCCATAAATATAAACGAATTCAACTTACTCGGTGAACTGCTCCCGTCGTTCCTGATTGCCCCTCCGATTAGTGTTCATTGGTTTGATGTTCACTCTCCAAGTATTTGCTCAGCAAGTTTTTCATCTCTTCACATTCGTGTGTGGTTTACCAGGAGAACCAGTTCGAGGTTTTATCCTTTTCGGGTGGTCATGTTCATTGACATGTAGACAGTTGAAACGGTAAGTAGGTTCCGGTTCAGATAGTCTTTGGTTTATCTTAGTCATGTGGCTTGTTAATAGTGCTCTACAGCATCCTGACGCCAGCGACAGCGATATAATCGTCTATAACGTGGCCTCAATAAAGATAGATATCAACTTAACTTGGATTTTTTGCTGTAATTATTTCAGTAAAGACTCCTTCAGTGGAACCTAGTGTTTACAAAACCTCGACTTCAGAATCAATGTGTTTTTTTCACGTCAATGTTTTCTGTACCCTCAATTTTAGGAATTGAGGACATAGCTGAGCTCAGAACCTTCCAATCACGAAAAAAGGTCTAAATATGTGTCGGTTATAGCCACCTCATAGACAATCGTTCTCTAAGATACTGTTTTCAATACCACTACTCCACACTATAAGCAGGGTGACTTTGTACCAGATATTTCAGTCCCCAGTAAATTTTGATTGCACCAAAAATATCGCGGTGTAAGTGAATATGAATAACCGGCAGAGAAATAGGAGCTTTGTGAAGCTACCTGGCCAGAGGGTCAAGAGAAGGACAGCTCCCGTTCCTTCTATCTTATCTATTCGTCCTAGTTCTGGCGTGTCGTCTACGTCATCACCCCTCCCCTGGTTAGGGTTAGCTAGTAGCCCATGTTGGACCAGGAATCCCGCCGGATTGGCCTCAATCCCGGCGGCGGCGAGGAGGAGGATTCGGAGCAGC